CAGAATGACTTTGCTATTCTCAGAGATATGTCTGCATGCCGGCCGACTATTTTGGGATATATTATTACTGCAAGGATATCGAAAAGGCGTTACATGCTAATTCATCAGACATATCTAAGATGCCTATCTGCTGAGTTTTTTGTTTGTTTGTTTGCGTATATATATATATGCGTGTGTGTTTTATTTTTTAATGACTCTTGAAAAATTAAATAATTAACGAAAAACTTGAGCGATTTTCACATGAACAAAAAGAACACCCATGGCGTGAAGTAGAGAGTTGGTGAAGTTTTTAAATAACTTGTTTATAGACATTTTGTTTCTCTTTTCGCTTCTTTTTCTTTTTGCTTTTGTTTTTGTCATGAACACATCTAAATAAACTCATTTTCTAATAGTATGTACGTACCTGATAGGCCGTTACCGCTACAAATTCCGTTTCAGGAAACACGAAACCTTGTTGTGGAGCCCATGGTATTTGAGCTAGATCAGCGGTCCGTATCACATGAATACGTGGCTGATATTTATGCATGCTGGCCAAGACAATCTGATAAAGCATAAAATGAAAATCAAAAATATTTTTTTTCTTCGATAATATGAATTGTATGGTAAAAAGTTTTGTCCGAAAATATGATTTGCATTTACAATTTTACAAATTTAAATTTCAAGTATCAACTAAATCGAATCATTTCATTTATGTGAAACAAAGAACGGGTGATGTGTATACAGTAGTAGAAATGGTGATTTCCAATTAACCTGTCAGAGAGGATCAAAGAAACGCTATATAGGGGCTTCTAGGGCTTCCCTTTGCGGTTTTGGGGATTTGAAAGTGAAAGCGTAGGATATGTCTTGACGGTACTTTAATAGAAAAACCTAAGAAAGTCCCTCGACCGGCTTTACGGCTTATCGGTTATATTTTTAATAAAATTCGGTTTTACTCTAAAAGATTTTCCTAAGTTGTTTAAAATTCTACGTACATTTAATCAATTTTACTCTGTTTTACAAACGGTATAGCTTGACACGAGATCAAAAAGGATTTATTAAAATGAAATTTTTTTTATTTTTTTTTTTTGTTAAATAATATAACATATTTTTATTAATTGACAAACTTACATGGCCACTACTATCCAAAGTATTGTTAGTTAATTTGACTTTATTAAATAGAATCGGTTGAGCCTGCCAATGCGAACCTGTGGCCGGACTGTCAGGATGTAAGTACATACGTTGAGGTGACTGAGGTTCAGCACCACCGGCCGGTATCCACTGTGAACCAGAAAACTTATAACGACAATCGCCTATAGGTACCATCTCGAGTAATATGCAATAATTAGTATCTTCCTCAAGCCCAGATAGCGACAAGCGCATCGATGGAAACATACGTCTAAAAAGAAACAGAAAAAGGAAAAAAAAATTCAATGTGACTAAAATGTGCAAAAACATTATACAGATACCCTACACAATTTCGCTTAGTAGAGCTATTCGTAAATGGCGCTTTTATGGGAAATGGTTAAAAAAGTGGTCCGACCCGAATCCTTTTCAGTAGCGGTCATCCTGGGGCTAAAACATATCGAACAAGAATACATGAACGGAAACCAGACGGTCAGATGGACAGACACACAGACAAGCTCGATCGGTGTAATAAAAAGTGATTTATCTTCTGAACGTTGTATACAACTGCGCAGGTAGTGTGAAGTATTAAAATTTTCAGATATTAGGTATGGAAATTTGACTGTTGCAGGGTGAATAATTATAAAACTAATTTAACCTATAATAAATAAATGTTAAGATCCCTATGCCAATTTGCCAAAAAGTTACTAAATTTGAATCCAAAATGCGTGTGCGTACGCACAGCTTATCTCTGTTTATTTATTTATTTTTTTCTCTTGCTATGTGTTGGCCTAAGAAAATATCACAAAAATGCTTGCATTTCTAAAACAAATATTTGTGGTTTTCTTGATGTTTCTTGATGAGTTGGTGTAGAATGTGTTTGCCATGCTAACAAGGATGTCTTATTGCCCAGCAGGTGGTCACAAATTTTGGCGCCAACCTGAAAACTTCGTTTACAAAACCCTAAGCGTATAGCAAACGTTTGAATATGCGATCACAGTTTATTATATTTATTATAGTTTCCTTCTCTTAGATAGGTAAACTTGTACATTTAATTAAATTATTGTTGTTTCATATAATTTTTTCAATAAATAATTAGGTTTCAAATTTTTATCAATTTTTTTGTACTATTAAATATGTCGGCTACATTTCTTTCTTTGTATACTCACACAGATTTACTATACGCTTATAATGGTTGGGAATGTTTCGTAGAGACTTTACAGATTCAATACATTCTTCGTTTAGGTTTGATTATTGTATCGAATTGCCTTCAACTGCTGTTACTTACATTAACTTTGTTTCAAATATTACTTATTGTCGCGTATCGGTTTGCCACAAAAAAAAAACGCTAGTTAACACACCATTTATACTAACATGGATCAGCTTTCACGCACAACTTTTGTAAAATTTCCATAGTTGCAAAAATGGAAATAAGAAGCGGAAACCTGACGCAGATATTTCCCGATTGATGAAGAAACCAACTTTAAAAAAACTTTTGTGATTTGCCCACATATACCACCCGCCCACGATTAATTAGAAACGGAGACAATCTCAAAGAAAACAACGAAAGTGTTTTAAATATTTTATTTTCTAACTTTCAATCACGCGAACATATAACCAAACAAATCTGCTACTAAAGTGTTCCCCGGCATCATCTAGCTTTTCGGTCCGAAAATAGTCGCGATTGGTCTTCCAACATGCATGTCCACAATGAAAAAATTATATTTAACTCCCAAATTTATTTGCCATTTTTTTTTTTTTTTCGGTAATTCGGTAAAGAACTGTCTAATGTGCATTAGAGTACATTGGAAATGAAATTTCAATCTCTTAAGATGATCCATTTGCATAGACATTTGTATAGGCTGTCGCCATCTCGAAAACTAGACTCGCTAGGTAAGAATTAATTATATAGGTATTTTGAAATGTCTTTTCATATCAAAGTCAGCAAGGAAATCAGTTGGAATTATTCATGCCTTATAATCGCTATTTTGCAGCTCATCAGTCAAATTGACTCATGCGGTAATTCCAGTGTTAATAAAATTCTCAATATTAGATTATTTTAGCATTTTGCTTTGTAGAGAGTAATCAATTTTCCATTATATCACTGTGTATGTACGCTCTTGTTATGTGCCTATGTTAAGTACATTACAATTTTTCTAATCTTTTCGGTACATAGTTTGCATCATTGCAAGCAAGTATACATATATTAAATATGATGGGATAGACTTCTGCGCAGCACTCTTGCCACTAAAACGCATGTTAGGCATAAGACCGTATCTGCGTAGTTTTGATGCAACAATTTCTCTTTCACACTTGATAAGCAATTATGAAGAAGCAACCAAACATAAAGATATTACTTGAGATATCTTAAAATGTTGATCGGTTGATCTAAAGTCCTCGTCGAATTTTTCGAAATATCGAAAGAAATTTTTTTCAACATTATTCCAGTCTCTAGTTATTATACTACATTTTTATGGATCATTTACAAAGACAACCTATTAAAATGACCCAACAAACGAAGCAATATCGTTAAATTGTCCCAAAATATTAAATGTTATCTAAGGATATACAGGTATGGGTATTATTAAAGACAAATAAAGAAGTTGGCTACGGCCAAGACATTGAATATCCCGTATATGAATTTCGTGATGTTCGAAAAGTAAGCAGATTTGACGAGTTCAGTAATGCATACGCAACAAATCCGACATAGGTTTATTTTTAGAGTCGGTCCATATTCACTAATCTTTCATGTGTACAAAGTTTTTGATGTTGATCTTTACCAAATTCACGTTATTTACCCCGATCTGTCGAAGGTTTTAATCAAATTATGATTTGACCATTCTCTCCTGCTGCTACTTCCTATTGGTAGAATGGTTTCAGTCATATCTAACGCATCGAAGGTAATGCATGACGTTTAAATCGTCTGCTTGGCATAAAATGAAAGGAACTCACTCACTGGTTTCATTCCTTCTATTAATTTTGTTGACAGCATTCAACTGCGGATCTAACTGTTTTAACTCATTCACTGCTAAGCAAGTCTACAGCGTCTTGTTCTGGATGCCAAGACTTTATTATTCAATCCAAACTTATAGCTCTTACTACGAGACGTCTCGTAGCTGACAGTGATTTAGGTTAAATAGTTGTAGTAGTATTCGATTAATGGAATGACATTTAATTTAAGCAAAGGTATAAAAAAACTTTCATTTGCTTAAAATAAGCCTTTGCCTACGCCAAACGTTAGTCACTATTATCCCGCTGAGATTTAGCCTTCACATCAGCGATCGCTTAAGGAGGGTGGATTCGATTTTTCTAGTTATGAAACGTTAGATTAAAGAATTCAACCATGCATCAGTATAAGACTTGTCAATTTACAAGATTTAGATTCATAAGTGGCCCCCTTGGTACACTTTTGCATACCAGACATAATGTGTTAGCGTTCACTTTTATCTTCAAATCTGATAAACTTTGACTTTGTGGATTATTCAAACCCACTTGCATTAATACTCAGATTCAATTAGCCGAATTGAGTATAACTTATTCCGTTGTACAACCAGTAGTTGTAAGTACTGTGATCCCAACTTATTCGCGTTTTGAACGTCTATTATTGTTCTAAAATAGTTGGGATATTTGAAGTAAATGAAATATAAATGACAAACTTCGTATACGCCATGAGGTTTCAGATACTTATGCTGCTCGAGAATAGATTTAATGGATTCATGCGTATGCGTAATTCTTGTTATTAAAAAATATAATAACGATTCTTAAAAATTTTCAGGTACAAACGTGTTCAGAAGGCAAGATAAGTTCTTTGATATTCACTAACTAAGCAATAAAGCTCAGTTAGCCTGGAAACGAGCCATTGGATGGACGACCATTTCAATGAAATTTTGAACTTTTATACAATATTTTACGATCGATTATAGTTTGATTTTGGAAGTAAATAAGTGAATAGGATCATCATTCGAAAACGAGAATTGAAAAATTGCCTTAATTGCGATTATGTAACATTTGTTGCCGAAGTATGGAGATAACAATTATTATTTACATAGCCATGAAAAATATTTCTACACTATATTTATTAAGTTTTGCTTACAAACACCATAAGTTAAAGCCCTCTCCTCCAATTAAAAGTAAAAAAAGTCAGTTTCCTGAACAAAGTTATAAAACCATGATGTTACACTTGACCAAAAAAAAAAAAAAAAAAATTCAAATTGATGGAATTTTTTCAAAAAACTTAAAAAAAAAGAATATCTGGCTGATTGTTGCAAATTTCGAATTATATTTTCCGAATAGCTTTGGTTTGTTCTTCATAACATAAAATTGTTATATAAGGTGGTGGAGTCAGACAGTTAGTAAATCTTTTCATTTTGTTTTATATATAAATTTGGAGAGATGACTTTATTGATATTACTCCGTACAAGGTGATATTACTCCTAAATACACTCACAAATAATCATATATTTACAAGACGTAATCTTTTTGTATGTATGTACAGTGCAAACTTCAAATATTATTTTCCTATCTTCCCTGTAGCCTTTTTGTAATTTTTTCACTCCTGCTCTCTCTCTTTTTCACATCTAGTTAAAGCTGATTTTGTGGCACTTTCTTATCTAACCTCGCTTGTATTTGTTGCTTTACTTTTACACCCCAGACCACTTATATAAGGTATAATAATTTGTGTGGAGTTATGTAACACTCAGGTAGACTTAAGGTAGACTCACTTTTCGTTCGAGCCTAAAAGCAGTGTTATATAAAACCTAACTGCTCACACACTCACATCGCATAGAAGAAGATGGGAACAAAAAGGTCTAATGTTTAATATTTGGTGGTCCGACGAAGAACATTTGAACTGTATATTATTTGGGCTATGTAAATCGACGTTTTTGACTCCACCTGTATAAGCGCACTCATGAACGGTAAACTTTTTTTATGGTAATAAAGCGCACAATAATAAGGTCTTTGATAAGAAGATTGATTTTGTTCAAGTTAGAGCAGACCACGTTCGGGACCTCTGCCAGGTAAGATGTAGATGTATGCAAGATTTACTTAACTAACTAGGGCAGCCAAGGGCCAGCCTTGTATGACTTTCACATTCACATTTTAATATAATTGCAATCAATACGATTCTTTTCGTTCAATAAACTTTTAAAAACTATCTCTTCCGGGCAATTATTTAACAAATAAAGACAAAACAGACAAAAATCTACTAAGTGTCGAAATTTCTACATATATGTACATATATATGTGGATATATTGAAATTATTGTATGAGAAAAAATTAAAAAATTCACATAATTTTCGCACACATTTATACGAACGTTTGGAGTGTCACACAACGATAATATATTAATTGCTTCTTACTTAAGCAAACATGCATTTTTTGCGCTTATTTAAATGTTAATCTCTTGTACAGTGAATATCTCTGTTAATATTAATGTTTAATGAGACCGTGTATGTTAAGCGTTGATTGTAAAGAGTAGAAATCTTCTAGGAGAATGCGTTACATATAGAATGCTTAAAAGCTAGTTTACCAAAAACATTGACGCAACAGAAGAGTCATAATTCCGTAGACCATTTTGCGAGTTGTGTTACATACACTTACTGTACTTCAGCTTCAGTTTTTTTACCAAATATTTTTGCTTATTTGCAATAGGGAAAATTTATTATTAAAATTCGAAAACAAAAACTTTTATATTCAATGCTTGTCGTGAACGGGGGAATTTATTATTTCAAGGACACGCTGAAGATATTTTTCTGCCAACTGTAAGCAATGTACTGAATTATTGAGGGAAATTTCGACCTCAGCTCTTGTTTAAGTGCGTAGTATAACGCTTCTGTTCTAATTAACTGTAATCTTGAATGCTTTGCCATTTTTGCAATCGAAAATATAGTGAATGAATAAAGTTTCAAGTTTGAATTGCTTACGTTTTACTTCAAACGATGTTTATTCAAATATTTCATAACAACTAAATAAAACAATAAGTGTTTAGAGAGGGACTGGTGTATAAGGGAAGATTATCCGATACATTGACTTAAAATTTTATTATGTTTTCTTTGCCGAAGCGTTAAAAATGCATCTGAATGTTACGAACAAATCGGAGAAATGGGAGAAGTGCCAGTTGTTGTTAGCGGCCTTCTTTGGCCACAAATGATAAAAACCAGCGATTGAGTCTTGGGTTGGTTTACGAGGTCAACATATGTCCTAAGGCCGTCGATAATTCTTCAAGTCGAATTTTTTTCATCATTGTACAAAAGTTTGCAATCAAAAATTCAACTATGGTGATCGAACAATTTCGTTGACAATGCTCTGACTGATATTTTGCAATTAAAAAATGGCGAAAACTCATTCGATTGCTTGCTACGCAGCCGAACTTTTCCATTGTTGTGAAAAACTTTCTAACCAAGTACTCAAGTAGGGTGGATGAACAAGCCTCATCTTGCCCATCTGATGCTATTTTGAAGCCAACAATTAAAATTTCAATTTTTTTTTTTTTTTGTGACAAAGAAGAAAAAAAAAAAAGGATCGGATAGCGTTGTATAGTTATATTTGCAACCAACTTGACCTAATTTAGAGCCAATAAAATAAATTGCAATGAGAAAAATATAATTATTAACAAATGTGTGTATGTGTTACACAAATTGTATGTACACATAAGACAGAGCATTAGTGTGTACAATAGTTTCAATGTCAACGAAGACGAAGAAATCTACTACTTCCCGTAATAGGTAGGTAGTTAGGTAGGTAGGAGAAATAAAATCAAAATTTTATCTCAGAATGCTTAGCTATTTCAGAGATGAAATGAGAGCTCTTGTTGATTGTATTGTATTGTATTTTTTTTTTTTTTTTTTTTTTTTTTTGTCTATTTTGTTATTCATCTCTTTCGGCATAGCAATGCAAGTTGAAGTGTTAGAAAATTTATGGATTGGATATGTTGGTTTTGTCATTTTCTCAACAAATTTGTTAATTAAAAATTTAAATTAGTTGAAAAAGAGGAAGAGTGTGTGTGCATGTGGGTTTTTTTTATTTTTATTTTCGCTTAATTCTTATAATCGCTAAAAATCAGACACTTGCTCACTACTGTTATATCGGCAACGGAAGATTTATTTACGTTGAATAAAATCAGGTTCACATTGGACTACGAAAAGTCATAACGTTTTTGGGATTCATGCATAAAACATGAGATACTTGAATGGTGGCGGCTGATGTTGTTTACATGAGTGGACACAAATGTGGGTATGTGAAAAAAAAAGAAGAAAAAAGCGAATGATTGTGAACTAAAGATGAAAAATTAACCAAAAGTTGATAAAACATTGTTTTACATAAATGTTTTAATTCGATTGCTATCACTTGTGTGATTGTGAAGTGTGAAATTGAATATATGCGTGTGTGTATTTGATTTCGTATGTATGTATGCATGTATGTAAGTGATCATATTTTTTCGGTGACTTTGTGAGCACAATCTGTAATCGGACAGAAATGAAAATATTTGTATGGCATATGTGAAATCTGTTAAACTGATTTTCACTAAAACGTTGGCCATCGATAAAAAATTACTTCTTACGACGACGATGGCGATGAGTTCAGACATTTAAAGATGCAAAGATGTTGTTGATAGCAAAGAGCAGCGAAGAATTGGCGCCAATTAAATTCACACGAAAATATCTCGAAATTTGTGTTAACTAATTACACTCTACGCCATTTGGTGTTACAGTCTATATTAAGTTTGTGCGGACGTATGTAACACGCAGAATGGCTTAAGATAGACCCAGCTTTTATCATCACCGCCGAAAGCTATCTGTCTGATGTCTGTCTATGCAAATTTTGAGTTCAAGCTACATCTCGCAAATTTTAGTGATATTTCGGTAAAGCTTGGTGCACTGACCTGTTTCGGCCCAAAAAATTTTCAAAATTTTACGACAAAACTCGTTGTGCAAAAGTACTTCGTTATTCTAAATTATTAAGAAAAATTTGGTTCGGCTATGGAAATTTTTTGAACCCCGTCTCATATAACCGTTCTTCCAAAAAAAGAAGGGATCTTTCTATGGCAAAAAGGTGTAATTTTCAATATTTCATGGTGAAAATTGATTCATAATCGTGAATTGATAAAGAAATCAACCATTATTTGCAGAACGTAGATCTACTTTTTTGGATTTCAGCGCCTATGAAGACTGTCAGGCTATATATATAGACCCTTGCATGCCAAAAAGCCTTAACTGTTAATGTTTTATGATGAAAATTTTCTTTATGATAGTAATTTGGCATAAAAATGAAGTGAACTAAATTTAAACCACATAGGTGGATCCCCTTTCATGCAAGCGTTCTCATGAATAGTAAGCTCTTTAGAAAATGGTTTCATTTTGAATGTTTTATGATGAAACTTGGTCCATAGTAACTAACGATAGCGAATTAAAAAGTCAAGTCTGTTCATCTTTACATTGTTAAAAACTTAACCCGGGGTCTAAATTTTTGCATAAACTTGAACACTTCCCTACAAATTTCAAAAGCATTACCATGAGTGGGTAGCAAGATAGTAGCAAATAGTAGTGTACAGAGTTTATAAAAGAGAACGAATCCGTTTCTTAGGATGCAAAAATATCGACCGCGGATTTTTATAATTTTTTTCTTTTTTAAATGCTATACCATTTTCAAGGTCATATGCCGCGAATCAAAATCAATTTTATTAAGTTCCCGCCAAAATACGTACGTTTTCATAAGGATGATCATCATTTTTTAAATTTTCCCTTTGGAAGTTCGAAGAGCAAAGGCAGCCGTAAAATGTCATTAGAAGAGTTTTTTTTTTTTTTTTTTTTTTTTTGTAAATTCTAACTGCATTTCTTACTCGCTAGTAAATAAATTTTCAGTTAATGATGTTTCTCATTTTTATTTATGACCCACGTCAACAATGTCAGTTTGTGTGAAATTTGAATTCGAATCGTGAGTGTGAGTTGCTGAGCGATGATTGTGTGTGAAAAATTTTGACGCGACAGTCCTGCATATTTTCTCAATTTGACAGGCGCCTAACGCTAATGATCGCACTTAGGGCATTGTCGTCGCCGCTTATACCACTTGATAGGTTTGTTACACTCCTTGATTAGTCATTGAGTCTGCTAGTATCCTTTTGCTTAATTTCCTCATCTAAAATTTCATTTTTAAAAGTGTGTCAATGCAATCATAAAAGAAGAATCTATTTTTGTTATTTATGAGCGGTCGTGTATACGAATGTTTTTGTCGGTCTGTCCCATTGCCAGGAAGCGTTATATTTCTCAAGTTTTAACAAGTGTAATATATTTTTGCTTTTTTTTTTTTTTTTTTTTTTTTTTT